TGACGCAACACTCCCAGAGGCACGTGCTGGCCCGCAAGAGCTCACACAGAGCACGACTCTTTATGCCCAAAGCTGATTCCAGCAGGCAGGGTCCCAGGAGAGTGTCTGTGCCCTGGGCATCACACCCTGCACGTGTGTGTATGCAGACATGTGCACCCCCCACACAAAACCCAAGTGGGGCCCAGCTCTTGGAGCGATACCTAGCATCTCCATCTCCCACAGCACGATCCCAAAGGCCCAGACATCCCCAGCCAGGCCATAGATGCTCTCTCGGAAGTACTCCGGGGGGTACCAGCGCAAGGGGACCTCCACCTGCAATATAGACAGCTCATGGCAGGGGAGGTAGGAGTGCCAGAGGCCAGCACCAGTTGGGAGAGCTCGGCTCAGAGCTTGGTCCACCATCCATGCCTGCCTCGGCAGAGGCTGGGATGCAGCCTCCTACCTTTGGGTGTCGGAGGGGGCCCTCATGGCCCAGCTCCCTAGCCAGCCCGAACTCAGCAATCTTGCACCCATGCGGGAATGCACTGACCAGGATGTTGCGAAGTGCTAGGTCCCGATGCAGCACCTGTGGGGACAGGCCAGGGCCAGCGTATGAGCAGCCAGGCGAGACCTTGCCTTCTGCTCCCCCACACCCTGCAGCTCGCCCAGATTTGTGGGTTCCCCTGAGCTGTGGACCCACCTGCCAGCACTTGCCTGCTTGTCAGCGATGTGCTTCATGCCCAGGGAGATGTGGTAAGCCACCATGGTGAGCAGAGCCTGCAGGTCCCCACAGCTGCGCAGCTGCTCCTGGCGGGAGCGGAGGAAGGTGCGCAGCGTGCCAAGGCCGGCGTGCTCCAGGATCAGCACATAGGGCTCTGCAAAGGGAGTGGCAGCAGGTCAGTGCCACGTGGACCCCAGGCTTAGCAATGCGGCCCCAGAGCAGCCGCTGCCCTTCGCACCCCATCGCTGAACCAAGGCACTTGAAAGGCCCCATCTGCTCCTCTCTGCAGTGAGGGGTGGCTCTACCCTGCTGCCAGTAGCCTTGGTGGCTCATGGCCTACCTGGCATAGCAGCAGCGTCCAGGGCCTTGCAGGCCTCTGTCCTCACGTGTGCCAGGCGAGGCAGGGCTGAGCAACCACCCCTGGATGGACAGGACCCAGAGACCTGCCCAGGGTCACCCAGGGACCCCATGGCCCAGCAGGGTGTCACAGCGTCGGCGGGAGGAGCTGGACTCCTCTCCTTCTCCCCTCACCTTGCTCCATGTTCCAGTCCAGGAGCTGCAGGATGTGCTTGTGGTGGCCCAGCGTCGTCAGGATCCTCACCTCCAGCTCCACTCGTGCTGCTGGCAGGCCTGGGGAAGCCATGGGCACACAGTAGGGGCTGAGCACAGCCACCCTCGGCTATGTGGGTGGCCAGTCCTGCCCCCACCCCCTACGTTCTGCCGCCTCTAAGGTGCTCCCACGTCCCTGGCACAGGCGCCAGAGTCCACAGCAATGCCCCGGGCAACTTACTGGGCTTGCTCTCTGGATGGTAGGGCCAAAGCGGGGACGAGCTCTGCCCAGTGCTGGCACTCGTGCTGCACCTCCCACCCTGGTGCCCAGCTCAGCCCTGGGCTGGGGCTCTGGAAGAAGGAGAAGATGGAAGCATTTCCTCACCCCGGCGACCAATCTTGCAGGTGACCAGCTTGTGTCCCCGGTGGCTCCCAGTGCTCAGCCTGGCGCGGTAGAACTGGCCGTGCTTGCCATCCTTGATCAGCTCCATGAGGGCCACGCCCTGCAGGACACGTGCCAGGCCCTGGAAAGCACAGGTCAGAGCACCCGTATGGTCTGCCCACCCCACACGGGGCAGAGCACCCGTTTGGCCTCTCGCTGCTGCTGCTGGGAGGGTGCTGGCACTGCTGCTGGGAAGACCACAGCAGGGGAGCAGCCGCAACCACCTCCACACGGGTGGCAGAGCTGGGTGGAGTCATCTGGAGCAGCAGCAAGACCTCTAGGGTCCAGGTCTCTGCAGCAGCCAGCTGCAGGCTCCAGCATGGACTCACCTGCTTGTGTCTCCACGTCTTGAAGGAGGTGCGTGCCTCCCTCAGCGGGAGCCATGCAGCCCCTACCAGGGGCCTGGGAGCCCCCTGCCGGCACCCCCCCATGATGGGCTGGGTCTGGGGAGCCCCTGCTTCAGCAGCGCGGATGTCATCCTGGCTCGGGAACTTGCCTGAAGTCCGGCAGCGCCTGGGGGCGAGAGTGTGACCCTGGCGCCTGCCCATCGAAGCCAGTGGCAGGGAGTGGCAGCGCTGGGCTGCTGAGGGGTGTCCTGCGGTGGATCCCTAGTGCAGAGGCCAAACCGGTGGCCAGGAGCCTGTGCTCTCCGGAGCGAGAGGGCAGCAGGCAGGCACGGGCAGACCTACCTCCTGCAGAGCACCGCAGCGGCCACGGACAGGCCCAGCAGGACCGCAACCACAGGGGGGATGATGGAGGAGCAGAGGGCACAGACTGGTGGTGCCCCGGACCCACCTGAGGATGAGTGGAAACAGCCTTGCCGTTGCAACCCCCCCAGCCTTCCACAGCCTCCCCCCGACACCTTCAGCGCTGCGCACATCCCATGACTCCAGGGCCAGCCCACGAGGTCCCTGCCCCTGGCAGCGGGAGCAGGCCCTAGGCAGCAGTGCACCGGTGGCTGGCCTTACCCCTGCTGGGCGACTGCCAGGTACTGCCCTGGGCCGTAAGGTTGAGCAGAGCCGGGGTCTCAGCTGTGGGGCTGGCAGAGGAGAGGGAGGGCCCCGTGCCCACGGGATTCCCTGTCAGTGCTCTCTCATGCCTGCAAGCAAAGCCCGAGTCATAAGTCACATCTCCTGGGCACGTGCATGTGGACGCAGGAGCCTGCCCGGGCCGCAGCACGCAGCCACGACCAGGCCTAGGTGAGGTGGGATACGGCTGATGGGACCAAGCAGCCAGCATCAGGGACCCTGTGCAGCCAAGCTTGTCCTCTGGGCCATGGGTACAGCCGTCCCTCTAGGCCAAGCAGGACAGACTGCATGTACCTGGGAAAGCCCTGTCCACTTGCTTCAGTGACAGGGAAACTCCCCCAGGGCCCCCAGCACCGAGGAGCCCGACAGCCGCTGTGCCGTGGCCACGGAGCAAGTGACTCAATGCCTGTCCTCAGCCTCTCACACAGCCAGTCTGTCCTCCTCCCTCAGAGACCATGCCGGGGCTGCCTGGCTCCTCCTGGCATGTCCTGGGCCAGGGACCCTGGGGGTGGAGGGGACCTGCTGCCCCAGACAGTCATGGGGGAGGCAGGCAGGTGGCTCAGGCAGGTCCAGCCACACCACCCACCAGGCAGCCTGAGAAGCACCCAACGTTTGTCTCCCCTGCCCGTCAAGGAGGCACGGCTCCGGCTGCTCCCCAGGGAGAAAGGCAGAGGACCCTCAGGATGTGAATAACCCCCTGGCAGGGGAGGCCCGGTGCAGGGAACCTGTGGAGCTGACTGCCCCATGAGAAGGGAGCCCCCAGCCCCTCCGTGGACCGTGCCACTGGCTACGGGGCAGCGCTGGCAGGACCTCACAAAGGCCCCTCCAGCAGCAGCCCGAGGGCACAGAAGCAGCACACCTGTCCCCAGGTTGGAGAGGGAAGCGGTGCTGGACAGCTCACCTGCAACCCCTCTGGCCAGCTGGGCAAAGGCGCCTGCTGGAAGCAGGGTGCCGGGGGAGCAGGGTGCATCCGCAGTGCCCAGCAGGACTAGCCCACGAGCTGTGAATCCCTCGGGGGCCGTTGGGAGTCTGACCCCTCCCCAGAGAGCGGGGAAACGGCTTTGCAGGAAGGACCAAGCTGTGACTCACCTGCCCATCCTGTGTCTGGCTGGCAGCGCCTGGCCTCAGCCTCCCAGGCACCTCCGCGTCTGCACTTCTGCGTCCAGCCCAGGAGCGTTTCCTCAGCACGCCTCACGGTGAGAGGAAATGGGGCTGAGGTTTTGCTGTGCTGTTGTACCCCAGCTCGCAGCCCTGCTGCTGTGGGGGAAACGTGGCCATCTGACTGGAACGGGGCCGGACTTCCTGCGCCGGCTGCCTACCGGGCGTTTCTCTGAACTCTCAGGGCTTCTGTGTACCTGCTGCCACTAGCCAGCCACCTTCCTCCGCATTCAGGACACGTGGGCCTGCGGGGGCCCTGCCTTCCAGACTCGCTCTCAGCAGCTGCTGTCTCGAAGGCTCTGTTCTTGCACTTGCTACAGGGCTGGGGTCCGCTTCACGGGCACCTCGTCTAAGGGCCACAGCAGCGGTCTTTGGTTCTCCCTCCCTGCGGCCTGGCCGAGCTGACGGCACTCAGAGAGCAGACTCATTTCTGTCCATGGCCCTGCTTATACTCACCTTCCAGCCACCGAAGGAACGGCTCCCTCGCTCGCAGCCGCAGGCCAGGAGCTTGGTAAGATGCGAAGCACACAGGACTAGAAGGGGCCCCTGGCCAAGGAAGCCAGTGCCCTGCACTCGTGGCACCCAGCTACCCAAGAAACTCTTGAAGCCACCACTGCAGACCCCTTACACAGCTGCAGGGCCCGGACCCCAAATGCCAGCACTGGCCTGGGAAGAATCCCTTTCTGACCCTAAACTTGGCAATAAACCTGACCCTGAGCAGAGGAGCATGGCCTCTAGCTGGGAAACTCTGGGTATCCATGTACTGACCGGAGCAGGTCTTTCTTTCCTTGGCTGGCAACCCCAATGCTCCTAAAAGCCTCGGAGCTCTCCCAAGGACACAATATGGGCAAAGGACACTTCCCTAGGACTGATGGCACAGACAGGACACCAGTTTCTGTCCCTCCAGGTGAGGCATGCAGGGCTGGAAGCTAGGAGGGAACCAGCACAGTGTCAACAGCTCCAACCTGGAGTCAAACCCTGAGCCACGTGGTCAGGGCCCTGGCATCACTGCAGGGCACCCAGAGTCAGGGTCTGCAGAGCCTACCCTGCTGGGCAGAGGGGCCAGAGCAAAGCACCGCGGGGGGGCAGAGGGGGCACCCACAGGGAATCAGAGCCACACATGCACCAGTTCCTTCAATGCTTTATTGACTAGTGATTTGTACAGTTATTTACAGACAGTGAAGCCAGCCCTTGGTGCAACACTGCGAGCCTGGCCGCAGCTCTCCAAGCTCTGCCATTCCCCACCAGCCCCGGGAGGGAAGAAGCCATCAAACCAACCCATGCAAGGGCCCCTGGGCTGTGTCACCCCTGAGCACATGCTGGGCAGCCAAGATCCTGCTTACATCCAGCCAGCCCTGAATTCACACTACGGGCCTGACTGGGGCCCCCAGCAGTGCTCCACCCTGGGTACGGCGTCAGGGCAAACCTTGTGCGCCCCCCGCCCAGCACAAACCTCCACGGGGGCACCCCCTGCTCTGCTCCTGACAAGGTTAGACCTGTCAGCAGCCCAAAAACCCAGCAGGAGAGATGGCCGAACAAATGCACAAACAGCCCACGGCAAACACAGGGCAGCTGCTGCTCCACTCTCCGTTGAGCAGCTGCCAGTTCCCTGCCTTGCTGACAGTGCCTCCCAAAGGGCTGTTCCCAAGGGGCGTTAGCACTGCACAGGGTGAGGTGCTGCCAACCACCCACTGCTGTAACTCAAACACCCACCAGGAGCCAAACACACGCTCACGCCACCCACTAGCAGCAGCCAGTCCTGTTGCTCCACTACCTTCCCCCACTAGGACCCCAGGGGCTGCACGTGCCATGTCTGATAGCAGAGAAGTCAGGAAATGAAGGGATGAAAGAGAGGAAACCGCAGCCCTGTAAGCAGCTGGTTTCTCTCGGCCCACTTCTCTTACTGGGGCACAGCACAGGTCGCTGGCGCTGCTATTTCTGAAGAGCGGTGGTTCAGAGAAAGCAACCAGCAGCCCTGCTGCCCTTTAGACCCCGCAGACGAGGGGACTGCTCGGAGAAAGCAACAGGTCACAAAAAGGGACTACGTGGAGGCTTTTCAAGGGGGAAGAGTGCCGAGACACAGCTTGTCCTGGACAAGGGCGCTAGCAGGCATGCAGGGAGGGCAGGGGAGGGGAAGCTTTGTGGTGTCTTTTGATCAGTTCTGCTGGAAAACCCTTCTGCTCCACAGAGACAGCCTGGCTTCATAGTGGGGAGTCAATAAGGGGGGAGTACAGGCAGAGAAGGGAAAAAACAGGATGAGACTGGCCCTGCGGGCAGCCTGATCCTCGGGCGCTCTGCAAACCCATGCCTGCTTCCAGTCTCAGCATGCAGGAGGCGGCAGCGCCTGAGCTCACCAGCTGCAGATTCGATGCAAGGGTCTCTCCACTGTGCCCTAAGTTCCTGCAAACCTGCCCCAGGTTCAGAGGGCTGCCAAGACCCCAGACCCAGCTGCAGAAAGACAACCCCTGGCTAGGAGCAGTGCAGGGCCTTCACATCCTAAAACAAACCCCTACAGCTCTACACAGGCACCAGCAGAGAGGGAATGCAGACCTGCCTCCAGGCAGCAAGTGAAGCAGCATGCAGCTAGCTCAGTCTGCAGTGAGGAGGTCACAGCACCCGTGTGCTAGGACCTAGAACTCAGCTTTGCTGTGCTGCAGCCCGGGCACCACCTTGCTGAAGCCAGGCAGTGGCCCCAGCTCTGCAAGGAGGGGAACCTTCGTGTCCCAGCAGCACACACCAGGCCAGGGCACCACGGCCGTGGGGACTCTCACAGTTACATATGAGCAGGGAAACGGCTACAGCACTGGCAGCGAGGCACACATTTCTACGGGTCAGCACGGTGCCGGGGGGGTCCTTCCTATGACTTTTAGCTCAGCTCCGAGCGTGCAAAGAGCAGTGACAACCTGCTCTGCACCTGCTGCCCCCGCCCCCCACGCTCTGGCTCTCACCAAGCCAACGCAACAGCAGCACAAGTTGAGCCCCAGCAAGTGCCTCTGCTCAGAATACAGCTCCAGACAGCAGCAAGCAGACTGCACCAGCAAGGGCTGCACCCAGGGAAATGTTTGCATTTCAGCCACTGCTGGGACTGAGCTGCAAAGCAAGAGGTGTGAGCTGAGCTGGCTGAGCTCTGCACAGGCCGAGCTGGGGCAGGTGGGACAGGAGAGCAAGCTTCGGGGCACGGAGGAGAGCGGGCTGCCTGCCTCTGGGAGGGCCAGTTTAGAGGGAAGCCTCACGTGCTAAAGAACTCACAGGAGGCTGGGAAAGCACCTGGCCTGACTGCTGCAGGAGCGCAGGCCCTCAGGTGCCAGCTCAGGTCCTGGCAGGCACCGCAAACAAAGGGAAGGGGCAACTGTCACAACTTATAACACTCACATGCAGCCCGAGCGAGTCAGCGCCAGAGTTCAAAACACTCTCCTCAGACAGCAGTTAGAACAGAATGGTTTAAAGGTGTCAAAATGCTGCGTCCTGGCTGCATTGCGCTTGGGAGCAGGTCTCCGTGCTCCTCGGCGGTCCGCGCTCTATGACTCTACCAGTGCACACCGGAGGGGGGAGTCTTCTCATCCTTGTTGCTTTCCAGGGAGAAGGGGGGGATTCGCACATCGAAGTGGGAGCCGTCGGGCCTCTCGAAGCGAAAAGTGCCCCTGCAGAACCAAGGCAAAGACCAGACAGGCCAGCCTGTGAACACAGGCTGTCGCAGCGCAGCAGTGCAAAAGCATCAGCTCTGCCCTACCCTGGGGCTGTGGCTGCCTTCCAGGTCCAGCCCAGTGGCAGGAACACATCCCTGTACCCGGGCAGCTCACCTGTGACAAGGCTTTTGGGCAGTTCAGTGCATTCTCAGCACACAAAGGCTGCACCACCCCATGGGTTTCTAGGAGGGGCAGGCACAACTCAGGTAGCCTGCATCAAGTCTTAGCATGAGTTAGGCACCCACAGGACACCAGTGCAGGACTCATCTCAATCGAGTCTGCCAACAGGTCCAGTCGTGCACTCATTTCCTGGCCGTGGCACTAAGATCAGCAGCCTGCAGCTGGGCAGTCAGCAAAAGGCTGGCTGTGCTGATGCAGACTGGCCTCCGCAGGGTCTAACTCTTTGTGGACACGGGGTTTCACAGCCTGGCTCTTGGGAAAGGTGACAGTGCAGTAAAGCCAGGCTCCCTACAATCAGCCCGAGGGCAGAACTCGCTAGGCATGCATGAGCCTGAAGCCACAACCTCTGCATGCAGCATAGTACATGGTGGAGAACTGAACATAGCAGGAGGCAGCTGGAAAGGCTCCAGCTCTTTCTGAGCCTGGCACACACTGGGGTAGAGGAGGGAACCAGTTCAGAGCTCACACCAACCTCAGGCCAGCAGAGACTTCTGGAGTCACCGGGGACAAGCCTGCAGACAGGCAGCCACTAGTTTGTTCCCACCCCTACCCACTTCTGAGCCCTGCCAGCTCCAGGTCGTGAGCGGTTCTGTAGCACAGCCCGCCCAGTGCCACGACAGTGCATGTTCCTTACCACATGTGGCCACTGGATGCCTGCAGGGAGACATGACTGCTGTACTGGAACGCTGGTTGCTCTTTGGATAAGACTGGCTCCTAAGGAGATAGAGACCCCATGCATTAATTGAGCACCTTTGGATTTCTCCTCAGCCAGCTCTTGACAGGAAATCTGCTTTGCAAAACTCTGCTGGCTATGAGAAGCCACCTGACCACTGCTCCCCTATCCCACCTCCTGCTGCCCTCAAGGCCATCACCACCTGTGCCCTGGAAGCAGTTTGAGCCTTACACCTGCAATTCCCTGACCTACCATCCCTATCTCAAGCCCTGGTTAGATGACTGCATGTCCAGAAACAAACATCTGGCTGAGCTCCTTCCCACACACTGAACAGCCTGGGAAAAACTGCTCATAGGTTCTTCCATAAAACACGCTCTCCCTGCTGCCTCTGGGCATGACGTCCTGGAGAAGTGGCCCTGAGGACAAGCTGTTTCACAACAGGATCCAGGCAGTGCTTACCCGTCCTACCACTCCTCGGCCCCGGACAGTTTCCAGGGTGCCAGATAAGCTAAATATCCTCCAGTGCCGTTCTCGGAGCTGCACCACTTCACTGTCAAGGTTCTCCAAGCGGATACAATAGCGCCACTGGACAGAAGACAGTCAGTTAGCAAGAGCCAGAGTGAGCTACCACTAGCCAATAACACGGGTACTGGGAATCACCAACCCAGAGCTTCCCTCCCCGAGTTGTATGACAGCAGTGGGGCACATTTCCCTGCAGCAACAAAACTCCCTCCCCAAGGTGTTTCGAGAAGCACTTACCCAATAGACATGTGAATTCTGGGCTTCCTGCCAAAGGAAAGAAGTGACTTTAGAGAATGCCCTTTAGCTATCAGCAGCGCACAAGCACAGAGGACACTGTCTCATAGTGTCAGGCACAAACAAGCCACATGTGAATGCAGCACAAGGTGCTGCCCAAGTCAGTCCTTACTAGTCCCGATCAGCTGCCTGCTGGCCCTGCCCTGTGCTGGGCAAGTGTGACTGTGACCAGACAGCCCTGCAGGACCCCTCAGCAATGGCAGTCTGATGGGACACCGGCACTTGCGTCAGTGCTAGGAGACATCTAACTCTGCCTCGTGCCGGTTACTCGACTCCCCGGTCGGAGGAGATGTACATCAGTGTGGCACCAAGACCCATGATTCCATCAGGACCTATATCTCACGGCCTGCAGCTGCCTTACAAGCACATGGCTTCACAACTTCTTTATGATGAAGCGGGATGTCTCCATGGGCAAAGTCCCGGATGCCCATCCCAAAAAATACAGCTGGCTAGCACAAATGCTATTATTTTGGTTTCTGCTCCCCAAACAGTAAGGCTGAATCAACATGAGGAAACAAAGGATTTCTGCTGAATGCAGAGAGCCCTAGGTCAGGGGAACCCTCTCCCATTAATGCTAACAGAAGAGAAATACCCTGCTGGTGTCACACAGCACAGAGCGAGGCTGTGGGCATAAGCGTCACTGAAGCGCAGACTGGGCTGGCGCCATTTCACCTGCACTTGGGATCCAAAATTAACAGCACTGATGATACAGACCATGGTGAAACTTCTCACCTGCTCTCTGCCAGCTGCTCTCACAGACCATCCAAGGCATTTCACGGTCACAAGCAACAAGCAGGATGAGGTGGGGGAGCTGCCCACAACCCTTCCCCCCTCACCTTTCCATGCTGGGACACCTGTTTGTAACTGCAAGTGTGGCAAGAAGTCAGGTCCTCCAACAAGTGAGGCTGCAGACCTGATTCTGAGGTGGTATCCACCCTGGAAAGGCTGGGCATGGCTTCAGTGACCAGAGGATGACCACAGTGTCAGACCTACCCTCATGCCCATGTAGAAAGGGATGACAGTGACCCGGATGTTGTCGGTGGTTTCCCGGTGCACATCAGAGAGCTCCAGCCAGGGATGGTTCTTCTCTTGCCATGCACACAACGTGTCCCTCGCTACAAAAGGTGGAACTGCAGGGAGTGAAAAGAGACCACCATGTCGCACACCAGGTAGATGCTCCCAGGCACCCCCTCCTTGAATGGATGCAGTGGTCAGCCCGAATGGACTCTGCTAGAACAAAGCCACCTCCTGGCTCCTGTACTGGAGTACGGTAAAACCCTGTAGCTAGGACAAAGACCTCCTAGTGCACCCGTCTCCCAGCCTTCACTGAGGCCAGACTTCCAGCAGCAGGAAGTTACCTTTTGTCTGGTCATATATGAGAAACCTCTCGAACAGCTCGTGCTGAATGGGCACCTGATCAGTGGAGTTGTAGGGAAGGATATCCTCATGGCTCACGTAGTCCAAACCTAAACAAGAAGCCCAAGTAAACCATGAAACACCATGAAATGGAGCAACTATCCAGAGCAGTCTGAGCAAGGAAATCAGCTTCGCTTACGACCAGCTCAGGAAAGAGCACCTTGTTGCTAACCCTGCATCAGCACACGTAGCCTCCAGCCACAGCTATTAGATGCCTCAAGAATCTGCAAGGAAGACGTTTCCTTACCTGGTATGGCATAGAGGGCTCTGCTGTCGTCGTGATTTGCCAGGAACGTAACTGCTTCTGTCTGCGACCTCTGAGACTGAAGAAGGGCAATTTAATACCACAGATGCACAGAAATGCCGGTTAGTTTCCAGCCGTTTCATTATGCTCCTCTCTCAATGTTGCACATTTATTTTGCACACCCAGCTCCTGTCAAAACACCTCCGCCATGTTAATTCTCCTAGGATGACTCGCAACCCAAACCCACAGGGTTTTGTAGCTACTCCCAACCCACATCATCCAAACATGCAAGGAAGTGGATGTGGGGAGAGGAACCGGTCTAATGCAGAAGGGCAATGGTTCAGCACTCCTGCCTGCCTCCCCAGAACAGTGACCTGACAAACAGCCAGTTTGTCCCCGAAACATTGCCAGCAGAGCAGACTTCAGCCACAGGAAAGATGCTCCCCACATCAGCTGCTGTCCGTGCCCAGACAACTCACACGGGCGAGGAGTCCCTGGGCATCCACAAACTCACTGCAGTTACTTACTATGTGAGGACAATCCCGAGCATCTATCAGCACCTGGTAGTAGGTGTGAGTTTTGCCTTTGACTTCTTTGGATCCGTGACCCGCCGCATTCTCGCTCCTAAACAGAAAGGCGCAGGCTGAGCACAAGAGCACCTGTCCCGTCCTGCTCCTACAAGACACCACCCCCGGCACCAAGCTCACACTTGGGCCTCGCCTACAAGCAAAAGCTCTGCCAGCCTGGCCGCGTCGCATCGCTCCTGTGCCAACCCGCCCCGCTCCTACCGCACGGCAGGGCAGAGGGAGCCGTCTGACCCTCGGTTTCCAAACAGGCACAAACAGCACACGGCCTTCCCCGAAACCTCTGCCCTTGCGACAACCCAGTTGAAATTCACAACCCAAGCGATTTCTCTCCCAAGCACAGACCCCTCCCAAATCTCCTGCCGCCACCGCACGCTCGAGGCATTGCCCCGCTCCTGCCTACAGGCCTCGGAGACTGCGCAGCGCAGGGAAGAGGCTGGCGCGGGACCGCACTGGGACAGAAAACGAGCAAACTCGAACCCTACTTGTCTCGGGCAGGGGAAGTGACGTCCCGATCGTACAGTCTGGCCTGCCAGGGGAACAGGACGATCCCGCGGTACCCGAACACGCTGTGCAGGAAGAGCTGCAAGGGAGAAACGGGAATCGCAGCCTGCGCGGGGCGAGCAGGGCAGCAGCAGCAACGCAGAGGGACGGGGTCGAGGCGCAGGTTATCGCTGCGACAGCCCACCGAGCGTCGCGGAGGGCTCTTGCCCCGCGATGGCGGCGACGAGGGTTTGGGGCGAGCGAGCCATGTCTCGGCCCCACGGAGCTTCGGCTGACGCCAAATGCCAGGAGCGGCGGGGCGAGGCGAGGCGAGGCGGGGCCGCGGACGCGATTCCCCAGCACCGAGCTGAGCAGGGAAACCGGCAGAGCGACCGCGACCGCG